CCGGCCCGGCCCGGCATGGAGCCGGCCGGGATCGACGCCGAGACGCCCGCCCCGCTTCACCCTATTGATCTCCGCTCATTGGACGAAGGTCAGCGGCGAGATAAACTTTGGGTCGACGCTGCCGGCGCCGGCGACGGGCGCCATGGGAGACCTCGCGCCGGCGGCCGGTGGAGATGATGGAGAGGTGGAGGGAGGGAGGAAACTGGCGGGTTCAGTTACGTGTGAGGGAGGGGTGGGGACGGCAAGTACACAGGTCTGGTGTGTGGAGAGGGGGGGGGGGGGGAGCAGGAGGGATGAGTGGACGCATAAAACAGGGGATGAGAATGTGGGCTAACAGGACGACGGGAAGCACTACAGAAAAGAGGCAGAGGCAGAGGCAGAGGCAGAGGCAGAGGCAGAGGCAGAGGCAGAGGCAGAGGCAGAGGCAGAGGCAGAGGCAGAGGCAGAGGCAGAGGCAGAGGCAGAGGCAGAGGCAGGGCAGAGGCAGAGGCAGAGGCAGAGGCAGAGGCAGAGGCAGAGGCAGAGGCAGAGGCAGAGGCAGAGGCAGAGGCAGAGGCAGAGGCAGAGGCAGAGGCAGAGGCAGAGGCAGAGGCAGAGGCAGAGGCAGAGGCAGAGGCAGAGGCAGAGGCAGAGGCAGAGGCAGAGGCAGAGGCAGAGGCAGAGGCAGAGGCAGAGGCAGAGGCAGAGGCAGAGGCAGAGGAGAGGAGAGAGAGAGAGAGAGAGAGAGAGAGAGAGAGAGAGAGAGAGAGAGAGAGAGAGAGAGAGAGAGAGAGAGAGAGAGAGAGAGAGAGAGAGAGAGAGAGAGAGAGAGAGAGAGAGAGAGAGAGAGAGAGAGCGGATGGGGGAGAGACGAGGAGAAAAGTGGCGCAAGGAAAACAAGACGAATGGAGAAAGGTGGAAAACCTCCGCAGCAGACAGCCTGTCTCGTGCGGAAATCACGGCCTGAATGTTAAGTCACTCAAATACCCGCACAGCAGTGAGAAGCACGCAAAAATGCGCCCTAAAATTCTGACCGAACCACACGTCTAAACGCGAGATGACTCCGGTGCCATCGGCGCCCGAAAGCCCATTATCACATTTATGTGCGTGGAATGTGTTCCTGTTTAATCCAATTAATACTGCTGTCCCACAGAGACGCCATCAATACTTAGGCAAAGAAGCAATGCAAATATCAAAACCACTAGATGGTGGACGCAGCACGTGGGATAAAGCAAAGCGGGATCTTCGTCTGTGGTGAGCACTCGTCCGCTCACCAAGAAAGCAGACCAATCCTCCCATTGAGAACTACAGCTCGATACCAGGGCCACAAACGAGTCCAATTTGGCATACTCCGACCGACACGCTGTGTGGCAGCGACGCCACCTGTAATCCGGGGCGGAGGACCGGCGCCCGCTCATCGGCGCTGGTCCAGGCTGACCGGAAACATCGGAGACTGCCCCGCTGGGCCAGTACAGCGCACACCGACCCGACAACGGGTCCGAACCCAGTCGGCACCGCTGCCTCGCTGCAGCGGGAAATGAACCATTGCAGAGCACGCAGCATCGTGTCCGCCTCGCGGCGGCTGCGCCAGTTAAGCCGTGGATCAAGTCGAACTGCGACTGCGGCTCGGAATCAGCTACACGGCCCGTTCAGCGTGGCGGAGGCGGTCAAACAGTTCGGCCTCAGTTCGGCTGCTGTCCAGCATGGCCCCACGCTAGGCCAGGGCAAGAGGTCCGCTGACCCACCCCAGCCGCACACCAGGGCTGGCCACGAGCTCAGCAAGCTTCCATGGTCCCTCCAGGACCCATGGCCCCTCCAAGGTCCACGGTCCCTACGGGGCCCACGGTCTCTACAGGGCCCAAATCCCCTACAGGGCCAACGGTCCCACCAGGATCACACAGTCCCACAAGATTTAACTGTGGCTCCGCCGCCCAAACAGCAAACACGGTTCCACCGGTGTTCATAATTCCGCCACAGCCTGTCAGTAGCGACAGAGCCCCCGGTTCCAGCAGGATCCCGCCGTTCCCCGTGCCCCCGGTCCTGCCGGCGGGGCCGGAGCGCGCGGCCCGGCCCGCAGCGGTGGCGGCGGCGGCGGCGGCCGACCGGCAGCCCCGTGGCGGCGGCCGCGAGAGGACGAGTCGGCAGATCAATAGGGCCTTACCGTGGGGCGGCGGCGGCGCCGACCGGCCGGCGGCGCGCCTAGCGGCCGCGGCGCGGCGTCCGGCGCATGGCCGGGCCGCGGAGAGCACACCACTCAGCTTGGGCACACACGCGCGCGCGCGGCGGCGACAGCGCTCGCGCTGGGGCGGTGGCGACGGCGGCTGCTGGCGCGGCTCGGCCGGCCTCCGCGGCGGCTCGGGCCCGGGCGGCTACTGGCGCCGCCGCCGCCAGCGACGGCGCCGACGACGGAGGCAGCAGCGCGCCCAGGGACGCCGCGGGGGCGGACCGGCGGAGGGACAGGTGTGGCAAGAGGAGGATGATGAAAGAATGCCTAGTCCGGTAGGAGCGACTAACGTGGGGGATTCAACAGCGGATGCAGTGGCTGACGTGCGAGAGAATCAAAGACAGAGACGGACGACAGTTGACCTTAAACTTGAAAATTGTTTTGAATTTGCCGCTTTGTGACTACATCAATCTCCTGTCGAATATCGGATGACCAGTCTGCTGCTCGTGTGGTCAAATAAGCAAATGTAACAGACATGGACCATCGGTGGTAGGATATGGGTGCTGACCCAAATGACACGAGCCCAATGGCTTCACACGATTTCGCCCCAGCCTAAAGAGATGTGGTTACGGGGAGGGGGCTGATGCCGATGAGGGGGGGGGGGGGGGGGGGGAAACGGGGGACGGAAGTGAATGCGTGTCGAGCAGAAGAGGCAAGCACATACACCCAGGTTATACTGGACAGTGGCACGGCACGCATTTAAGCATGTCTATTATAATAATTGGGGCTCTACTTATCACTTGTTATTACTATTATATCTGATACATTTTAAACAAACACAAACGCGCGCACAAACGCGCGCGCACACACACACACACACGCACACGCACGCGCAGACGCAGACGCACACGCGCACGCGCAGACGCACACTTATATATATATATATATATATATATATATATATATATATATATATATATATATATATATGTATATATATATATATATATATATATATATATATATATATATCCAGATAGCATTGGATAGACCATTTCGACAGAGTTAAATTAATAGCGGACGAAGGATATACTCCCAGTCGACCACAGGCTATTCAAAACTTCTATAGAATTGAGGCACATCCCACATTTATCATTTTGTCACGTCATTGTGAGTAATGAAGGAAAACGAAACAAAGACAGGTGATTTGGAGGCATTGATTTTAACAACGAAATGGGACTCAGATGACATCCAAAAGCATCGCCTGAAATACTGTTTGCCGTAACTTTGGAACTCCGTATCAGATACAGCAGAGCAGTTTATCATCCGATCACCTACCAATAACTGTTAATGTCATTCAGCCGCGCGACGCAAGCAGAAGTCTGCTGAGGCAAGAATCGAACCTGCAAGAATCAATCACGACCGCACTACGATAACCACCAGACCACCTGCAAGCCTTGAATTGTGCTTTACCGTTCCCCTTTCTCTCCCGAGATTACGCATCTGACATCCATACTTCTTCTCTCCCCCCCCCCCCCCAACAGCCTACAATTCATCTTCCCACCTCCGCTTCCACCCCGCACCAGAATACGCGCCCAACTTCACGAAGCAAGCCCACGCCCAGCATCCAGCGTAGCGCGAAACGCTACCAGGATCCGGCCGACGCCGACCCGCGCCTTCGGAGCCGGCGCCCGTCTCCGGCTGGAGGCGGGCGCAGGGCGCCGAGCGCCGGGGCCGGCTGTGATTTGTCGCGGCGCGGCGCGGCCGCGCGGCCACCAGCGCCGCCGATGAATATTTGATCGAGCGGCCTCGGTCGAAGCGTCCAGCCGCGCTCGCCCGGCGCCGCCAGTCAGGTCGGCAAACAAATGGTGCCGCCCGACGCTCTCCTCCTTCCTCGCGGCGCCGACGGCGCTGCCCCCGGCCCGGCCCGGCAGCGCCGCACCGGGGGCGAGTCGATGGTGTAGGGAGGAGTAGTCGACAGACGCGTACTGTAGCGCGTCCACGGCTTGTGACGTGTACAGGCGGTGCGCGTAGCAGAGATGGGAGATGCGAGCAAGGTTGACCGGCTGGATTGGCCGTGTCTGGCCACGCGTGCTTTCGCCCAGTTGGCAGCCCAGTCGAAGTCAGCTGTTGCGTGTGGTCTTGACGGGCTGATATGAACTCGTGACGAACACTTTATGGTTTAGTGCTTTTAAGCCGCCTTTATTCCTGCATGCATATGTTGCGCTTTCAATAACCTGTATCATGTTGGATGACGGTGCGTGCATCTACTGAACAAGGCACCACAAACATTGCAGAAGCACCAAGTTCTCCAAAGGGGAGGGCATGCATGGTCAAAGCAGCTATATTACCATCAAACCGCCTTTGTTGTTCATCAAAACTGGGAATGCATCATGAGGAAACCCGGTTAGAGCAAAATCCCAACCTGGTTCCGAGAAATCTGCACTGGGCACAAGCCCATTCGCCTCGAGCGTTACCCACCGATAACCACGCATAAAATGTCCTGTCGAGCGGAGCGGCGATGCGCGCCGGCCAGGTCCGCCCTGACGGTAGTAGATTCCTCGTCCGGCCCAGACGGGGGAAGCCTCGCGCCATGCGCGCCGGCCGACAGTGGGCCAGCCAGTCGAGCGGCGGCGGCGGCGCGCCACGCAGCGAGCCGAGGGGCGCGGTTCCCGAGGGGCCCAATCACGCTCGTCTCGCGTAATGCACCGACAGCCGTCGGGAAAAGACGGGACTACTAATGAACGCGCCAGCGCGCCAAGCCACAGCGCGGCTCTCCCTTCTCCCCCCAGGTTACTGGATGGGGGGGGGGGGGGACTAGCACAGCGGCAGGTCGAGAGCTGGCGGCGGAACTCACCTGGCCGCGATGCCGTCCGGTTGGATGCCCTGTACGAATATCCCGAGCTCGTGGTTCAGCTCGCTCGTCAGCCCAGCAACGCTGAAGCCCAAGCTAGTGCCCTCCTGTTTGTACAGCTGGAAGCGAGAGTGGTCGGTTTAGCCACCAGGTGGCACATAGATCGCAGGCTCGATGGACGAACCGTCACGCGCGAGGGTCCGAGCGGACTATCCATCTTAGAGAGCGCGTGAAGACACACACAAAAATCAAGCTTAAGTGGAGACAAATGTATGTGTTAACAAGCAAATCAGCATCCATTCTTCTCAAAGGTCTCCGCACGAAAAAACGAACGTTCCGACGCACCACTCTACCATCTATCGACCGTCGAGCCTACTTGTGTTTCCTCCGCACACAGCTGGGCCTCGCGCCCGGCTGACAACGGCCCGTGCGCCACACGAACGTCCTACCTGGATCGGGATGACCTGGCGACCTTTGGCGGCCTCGGCGATCACACGCTCCAGCTCCCTCTCGTAGGCGCCCGTCATGATTGGCGGCTCGGGCCGACCACTCGCGTTCAGCTGAAGCAGGCAGCCGCCAGTCAAGGCAGCCGTACGTCGCCAGGGTGCAAACATCGGTCATGGAGGCAAACACAGCCATAAATGCGCAGAGTCCAAACGTGAAAAAGACGACCCGCAATGGTCTATGAAATCGTTATCGGCCAATCGTTCGGATAGGAAAAGCAAATACTGAAAAGCGTGGAATGTCCGGCACTTTGGGTTTGACAGCTGGTGCGCCTTTCTATCCTTGATACGACAACGCCGTCGGAGCTGACTCCAGGATGCACCAGGAGCACCCATGGCGCTGGACAGAATGATAGCTCTGATGATGGGCTTTGGATCAACGACTGCATTATCAATATACGTTACTTGAACAGCGCCTTTTAAAGGTCGTGTTCATGACATCTTAAAAGCAAAGACGACGACCTTGTGAACCAATAACCATCTTTAAGAAACCGGTCTGAACAAGACCAAGATCACGTCGGAAACAACAGCGTCTCCCATCAAATAAACAGATCAGCAATCGTACCACAAATAGCAAAACGACACACAGGTAATAAACAACGCATCTACGACCAGCCGTCGAAGACTCTGTGCATGCCAGTATTACTATGTCAGCACCCAGACAAGCAGAGACGAGGCTCTTCAGGGCGCTCACCGTCTCACTGCTGTGGTGGGCGTCCACGAGGTAGGACGACACGGCCTCCACCACCGTCTGCCTCTCGGCCTTCAGCTCCGGCTCCGGCTGCGGCTCCGGCTTCTGATCCAGCTCAAGCTCCTGCCCCAGTTCAGACGTCAGCTCCGGCGTCAGCTCCGGCTTCAACTCCAACTCTGGCTCCGGCTTCAGCTCTTGTTCCCGCTCCTTTGCGCACGCCGACCCGCGCTTCAACTCCACCTCCGGATCCCGCTGCAACTCCAGCTCCGGCTCCCGCTTCGACTCCAGCTGCGGTTGCGGCTCCCGCTCCCTCTCCTTCCCATTCTCCAGCCGTTTCTCCTGCACCGGCTCGGCCCCTGGCGTGGAGGCGGCCCGCTGGCCGGGGGACGCGCGCGGCGCCACCGCTGGCGGCCGGGGCGGCGCGAGCGGCGCGAGCGGCGCCGAGGCCGGCGTCAGCGCCAGCTCCAGGTCGCCCGTCTCGGCCACGATGTCAAAGTCGGACGGCACCAGCGACGGGTGCGCGGCCAGCTGCGCCTTGAGCCGCTGCAGCGAGTCCTGAGGCGGCCGGAACGTCATTGGTCGGGCGGGCGAAGCGCAGACCGAGGGGTCTGGGTTCGATTCCCGCCGCGAGACACTTTCGCGGGGTCAGGTTGTTGCTATGAATGTGTGGTGACACTGATGGCCCCAGGATCGATAACGGCCGACAAGCTACCAGTTGGTCGATAAACAACGTGTCGATAAGCGACCTGAACGAATAGCCTAACGATTGATCGACCAATACCGCGCGGGCAAGCCTGACAGCTTTTAAAGGAGCGACCGCAACACGCCACCAAGGGACGCGCGACCGTTAGGTCTGCGACACCTGGAAATGCTGAGCTTTCATGTCATGACCGGGAGCAAGACACACCGAACATCCGGGCGCACGGCAGAGTGAGACCTGCCTGTCACGCCCATCGTTGTGCAAGGCACGTCGCCACGTATCGCGTCTCACCACACACTATGCGACTAAGAGCCATGGCACAGAGCCAGGGGAAATAGGAGAACCTGGCGAATAAGCATGCACAAAAACACTGTTGTGCGCGGCATGCGTGAGACGGCCGTTGAAAGCCTCACAATCCCTCACTGTCACAGTAATCCAGCCTATTCCCACCACGGAGCTTTTCTGGACGTCGCTCACGCGGCAGCTCGCGCAGCACAGCAGCACGACCCCGTCCGACGTGCCAGTCCCCGCCACACAGCGCGGCCGGCGGCGTGCAGCGTGCAGCGGTGCACGCGCCGGACGCGGCGGCGCGCGCGGCACTGACGGCTCACCTGTATTTTGAGCAGACGCCCGAAGGCGGGGTTCTCGAGCAGCGCCACTAGCCGGCTCAGGTGGGCGCCGACCTCCTCCGACAGCGCCGGGTCGCCGCTCTCCTTCAGATGGCCGCCCACCCGGTCCAGCGCCGACAGCACCCGCTCCGCCTCTGCCGAGTCGGGGCGCACGGCTCAGTGCGACCACTGAAGCCGGCGGCGCCGCACGCGCCGTGACGGCGGGCCGCAGAGACAGTGGGGGATGTGGACAAGGCCAGTGGCTCTCCAGGACGCTCCAGAATGGATTCCTACTTGACGCCTCGCTGCACGATGTTCGGCATTCTCGTAGTGGCGTATGCGGCTGTGATAGTGATACGACAGCGCGGCTACCTATCCCAGAAGCCTTTCTGCTTTCACTGCGATAGCAGTTTCGTCTCGTTTTGTCCGGCAAAAAACGCAGCCAACAGATGATGCATTGTCACTGGATAACATGGTCTCGGCCACGTGCGGATGCCTCCTGTAAAAAAAATCTGACAAGCTGGCGGCTACCCCGTGAATGGTCGCGCTTGTTAGTCATTTCACGACGCAGCCTGAATAGGGGATGTCTCCGCTGTACGGGAGAAGCGGGCGGTGTAACCACGGATCCCACGCTTATCCAACGGCAAAGAGAAATGTTTTCCACGTTATTTGTCTCGCCCCTGGCAAGCAGAGCCATGAAGGCACGCTATTCGCATTTCCTATCGGCATTTCTTACGAATAAATACAAGCCACTAGTAGTGAGTCGAGGGTTGACATGCAGTCAAGAAGTGTCATGAGTAATGATTATGATCATTTTTCCAATCGCGAGTCAATCCTAGCTATGGTCCGCATCTGGGGCAGTCACTACCCTTCCCTTATCATTGCCGCCTCTTGCTCATTCGCGTGCCATAAAAGAGTTGTCACAAAGCCCAATGAGACTATAATGGAAATTTTACAAACAGGCATCGTCTGCCTTTGCACGAAACACTCGGTCCGCACGTGATTGCCCACGCTATTCACAATGGTTTAACTCACTTAGGTGACAAAGTACATTGGGATGGATTTGGAACACAACAGCCAGCGATGAATAGTTGCGTCAAATTCACTAATTTACGCTTAGAAATGACATGGATGGGGCAACGTTGCCTGCCCCCAGCCTAACCACGAATCGCACACGAGCACCCTGCCCGGCAGGTTAGTGATGCTCACGAACCAATTACAGCGATTGCTCATTAGCTAACGACATCGCCGCATGCACTAATCAACGACCGAAAACGCGTACCATGCGAGACCGCGACAGCTACATGTTCTCGTCCACCATCGTCCGAAGCTAGAAGGGGAAGTGGGTCCAAGAGTCGACAAAGAGTCAGAGCGAGAGTGTCAACAAAGAGTCATGGTTAATTAATCGCACTGCCTAGAATACGTCCACGCGAGCTACCCGCGACGTACTGAGAGAGGTCACACCACTAAGCATGGACCACGGGCTACAAACGCAAATCATGGCCGCAGACTGCGAGTACGACGTTCCAGCTAGGCCCACAAGACAGGACCGACCCGACGTGGCAGCATCTGGCGGAAGGATCTGGTAGAGAGAGGGGGGTGGGGGGGATGATTCCAGGCGATATCATTCCGTCCTAGCTCATGTTACCGCTGAACTCCCGCGGTTCCCCTAACCGGCACGGCAGGCTCCACGCCGTCCCGTGGGAGGATTTGTCAGCAATTGTCAGCAAACAAAAGGCCATGAACACTCCTCTGCAGACTAACAAAACGGATTAAATCCCGTAAAGCGATTTCAACACATGCGCTGCATGTCTACCTGGCCGTACCTTTACCATCTCCGTTCACAATCCTATGACTTAATGCATGAGCATCCACCGCCTGACGCGACAATGCAAGAGGTAGCCGGCCGTATCATCCGTATTGATCACCGGGCCGGGAGCTGCGACAGCTCACGGGCCGTCCGGCCGCCGGTGACTTTCGCCGCCACATCGGACCCGGTCCGACATGCGGGAAGCGACTGACTGCATGGGGCCGGCGGCCGGGCAGCCTTGAGCCGGGCGTATCGGGGCCTGGGCTAGCCGGCCGTTCCCGCAATCGGAGCGACAGGTGCCAGGCTATTCGCAATCCGCTCGGCCGCTCGGGCGCAAAGCCCTGCCGTGCTGCACGGCACACGCCCCCGGAAATAGCCTTGGTTTGAGCGCGCACGCCAGCCCTCCTGTCGCAGATGCTGCTACAGCGCGGCCGGTGAGCGCGAGGCGCCGCAGCGCCAGACGCAGGGAGAGAGGGAGGAAAGCGGGGTGCGGCGATACGACGTCTCGCTAGTCAGAAACGCGCCGACAATTTTCGGAGCAGTGCATAGCGGCATGGCGAACTGTACGATCAGGCACAGACACGAATGTGTATCGATTAGCATGGCAACGCATAACCGAGGGTTAACTGGGGTTCTGTCGCTGCATCAAACTCACCTTCAAGAACGGACATGGTTACTGATGGCTTTTCCCGTAGGAAAGGAAAAGTCACATTATACCTGGAACAAGAGAAAGCGATAATGATCAACGCCACATGGCTGCAACGCAAGAACTTCAAAGTGGAAGAATGACGGCTTAGCCATCCCCACTGAACTAACACTTTACCGTGCACAGCATTTGCATACAAAAACCCAGGCACAGGGAACTCGTACACGCCAACAGCAAAAATCCGTCCGATCGCGCAGGGAATCTGACAAAAGTACGCACTGGGCGCGTTTCAGCGACGAAGACTTACGATACCTCCCACATAACTGTCTGTGACACCGAACATTTCTAGTTTGGTTCGAACCTTTCGAGTTGGTCGCCTTGCGCAGTCAGTACCCACGCTCAGCAGTGCTTGTTGTGTGAGCCCTGACTCCGCCATCCGATCGCGAAATTCCAGGTCAACGACAGATTTTGCGGTGAAAGCTTAACGTGCCACACTGCTCAGCACGGCCCCCGCCCCTCTGACGTCACCTGACCTTAGCGCGACCGCAGCCACCGGCCGCCGGCGCTCTGTCCAACAGAGCTACCGGGACAGGCTACATTTGCAACGTAGATTCTGAGAGCCGGGGTTCTATGCGCATCATGGCGACGAGGAGACCGTACTGCAGTTGGATTGGCACAGTGGAATAAGACGCAAAACTATGCGTCTGTGGTATAAATTTCCATATATTTTTTACCATGTGGTTCTTCACTTCACATTGCGATTTTGCACGCCGAATACACAGGGAACGATGGAACACTGGCTCAATACCAAAAGCGGAACAGGATGTCTGGAGATGTTTACTGCATGTCCATACCAAGATCTATCCTAGTACACCATTTGGAGCATAGCCACAACGCAGCTGCAATGATTTTCTGTAATTGCCGTGATCGGTGCTGAAGACTGCGAACGCCAACTGCAGCAATGACGCGGAATGCAAACTCTCAAGTATGTATGTCCAGTATGGCCAGTATGTCCAGCACTCTTTCCCTGCAATATGACATTGCCTGCTGGTATGTCCTTACATGTGCTAACAAACTTGTCAAAATCAATCCCAGCACAGCATAGCTTGGCAGCTATAGGAGGGAGCAATCTAAGACAATCACTTGCAGATAAATAATTTTGCAGCAACAAAGTTGCTATTAGAAAGGTCAAGATCTCGCACATTGTGTGATGGGATTGGGATTGGCATGCAACAAAATTGGAATGTCTTGTACTTCACTGTTTGCACAAAATATGAGAGGCAAATGTCACTAGAAGTCCTTTTTGCCAATTAACCCACCAGGGCCATTATCTGGATCTGCACCTCAGCCACTGATGCTGCTCCCCTTAAGACCAAAAGGCATGCAATGGCCTCCACTTTCAGTGCTTGGAATTACCTTCCTATCTGAAGAATCATGCACAAATGTGGTAGAAACTGTGCATGACAAATTCATGTTTTCAAAGCACTGTGAATGATGGCTGGATGTGTCACCATAAACTCAATAGTTTGACAGTCATTGAGGGTTTCAGGTGGGTCAACTGAGCAGTCATACAGCAACCAAGCACCACAAAGTGAATGATGCTGGAGGGCAGATATACTAGCGATCAAGAAATCCTCTTACCAACTCAAACTTCCCTTAATAGACCAACAATCAGATACAATCAGTGAATCAAATGATTGCTCAGACTATTGACATTGTCTGGTGCGCTGGTATACACATAGTGTTTCAGCCATTCACATCCCAGCCACATAAGGCATCATGCAGTGCTCAAAACGAATGGAAGATGTTTTGCTTTTAGCTATGTATGTGTCACAATTTGAATTATCTCCTTAGAATTGCTGGGATTTAAACAATGGTGTTCTGATTGAAAGGCCAGTGCTCTGCCAACTGAACCAACCAGGAAGGACTTGCACATAAGCCATACATGTCAGATGAGAATGATAGTCTGAGCAATTACTGCGCTTGTGATCCTAAAGCCACATCTCAATCCTCCTGTAAAACACATGGTGGCTTAGGCCTTCAGATTTGGAAAAGGAAATCAAAGTTAACCAAATCCATCTGAGTTAGAAAAGGAAACCTCTTAATCACAATGAATGTTATTAGATACAAAGATGCCTGATGGTGTCTTACAGCCTGTGATGTAACCCATTCATGGCAAACACATTGCAACTAGCTTTTAACATTGCTGATCTTTGTTTTGTTAAATATCAGACCAGCAGGCATATCAATAACCTCCAATAATTCATAACAAAATTTGGATTTCAGCTACCACTAATTGATGGGCTACCTACAGGACACAGATAGCCAACCCCAATAGCTGGCCATGAGGAGATGGGTAGATGTTATAAAATGTGTGCGCACAAATTAAAATAATGAATTTAGGATGCATAAATCCACTCAGTTAACTAAATGTATATGCTTACAAATATCTAGTTCCTTAACTGAGCACATAGGTTCTTTCTGACAGTTTGTGTAATTACATGTGATGGTCTATGTGGTTGAACCATGTACACAAAAAGGATAACCTTAGTAGGAAGTTGTCAGGACATATTGGGGGGGGGGGGGGGGTTAATACTTGATAACAGTCTTGCAAGTACAGTTCAACTGGCAAGGCCTTTAAAAACTTCCTAAAACCTGGAAGATCTCAGGTAATTTATGAAGGTCTTAGGACACCTGCTTTGTGATTGGAACTTGAGGAAAGTTGAATTAATTTTCACAACTTTCAAAGGAAGATGGTATGTTTTTCATTCCACACTAAATATATATTCTGGGACCTTTCATTGGTAATTGCCCATTAGTTGGTCACAAACTAGCTAAGTATTTGCCTGCCACTCATGCCAGCTAGCCAACATGAAAGCAGTAATGTTATTTCAGTATGACTTTTATTCTATTCTGTGACATGTTTATGCCCAAATGATAAATGACAAAGTTATGTATAAACCACAGCAAAGAATATCAAAGCAATATCACTGACTCCATTTAGAACAAAATATCACAGCATGCTATTTCATGAAGACTTTCATCCTTTTCTTTACACCTTAATGTGCAATTGACTATAATGCTTGTTAACAGCATTGTAGAAACTCACCATTTGTCAAAACTTACTTACAACTTTCCAAAAAAATCACATCCAATGGGCACACATCTTTCCTGTCCATTTTGCCCAATTCAATGCAAATGCTTTCATTCTCACCTTTCTAGTTCTCACTGTTGTATCATATGCTATTCCATCACTTTGGATTCCATTGCTCCAGTTGTTTTGCCAGATCCTGAACAATAAGACAATTGGAGTGTTAGGCCACTCAACATCAGAAAGGTTATTTTGGGCTGATAGATCCTGAAGAAGTGTATGTTATCTATACACCAGGCTGTAAAAATATACATGTTGTGCCAAATATGTCTGGCAAAGTAGAAAGCAATCCAAAAATGTCAGGGCATGTGCACTAAAAAACCTTGCATTGAGTTTGGCACAAGGTTGCCACCAATTGAGCCAATATTTCAGGGAGTATTTATGGTCCCAAGGTGGATGCAGACATACCAAATCAGAACATTCAGTGCAGCTTGCCCTAGCCTGAGTTCCATGCATGTTAGCGCAAATTTGAGCGCACCGAACACAACACACTTGAAAATGTGCTTTAGGGCCTTCTGTGATAGCACCTGATACATGAATTTCCCAATCATCAGAAACAATTGTAATATACACCACCCTTACCTGGTGCCCTACCAACACGGGCGCCCTCCCTGACGCCGCTAAGACGAATGAGTAGCAAATGAACTGAAATGAGTGAACGACTGCGGTAGTAAAGTACTGCATTCATATTGACGAGAGAAATAATGGGCTATATACGTAAGCTGTAAATACTACACCATCATTGAAATATTTCTTTGAATAAACATCATAAACTTCTGTGTTTATTGAATAAAATGTGTCGAAACAACGAATGGTGTTATGTTTTATATCAAGTACAGAAGTTGATCGTTGGGGTGGCGTTGTCCAGGACGCGGTTCAAATGTGTTGTTTTCGGCCCATATAGATGTGGATGTGATATGTAAAGTAACATCACTTATCACATCTCCTGCTGCAATCCTATATCATGCAATTTTATGTAAGTAAGCGTCCCTTTGCCATAACAATTTCGTGTTTATCGTATCCCATGAAAGGCAGCACCGATGCCAAGTTAAAGTTTCCGAGAATGCTCAGCTGATGTTACTAATATCTTAAATATATCTTTGTATACTAAAGAAAACTGAATAAAGATTGTCTTGATAAAAATTAAATGAAACTAATATGCAATTAAAACAATATTTCATTGGATTTCTAAAGCTGAGAGATGTGAAATGTTTAAAGAGCGGTAAAACTTAGACAAACAACGCATATGGCAGATAGTCAGCTGTCAGTACAAAATTCGTTTGCAGTCCTTGATCACGGCAAAGTAAACAAAACCAACGTAAACAAACTCCTGATTTGTGTGGACCGGGTTTTTCAATTGTGGCCCAATGGATCTTGAGAATCGATTTGAGGTGTAAAGGTGGCATAGTTCACCATTGTGCTATCAAAATTTGCTGTTAATGATCTCTCATGGTTGCTGGGAAATTTGACTGAGATTTGCGAGTTTTCTCCAAATCTGATATCCGCTGATTTATAGCCGAAATCCATCGAATTTGGAACCTGCCCGCGGTACCCGCCCCTGGAACACCACATACTTTGAACACAAATCAAGTCACCTGGTTCTGGAGGCATAAGTCGTGAGGAAATTTTTTGATCTGACAATGATTTTGCAAGCTACAAAAGCAAATGTGGACAGGGAAGCTCAAACTTGTTTGCTGTGCTTTGATTTCTAGCCCATAGCTTGAGCAACTGTGTTATTTACCAGCAAGCTTTTAATACAACTATCCCTGCCAGCCTCAGTCTTGTATGCTGTTGAAATCTAGAACAATGAAAGCTGAGGAAAATGACATACTAGTGTGTGCATCAGAGTTTATTCCAGGTAAGAATTATGAGTTTGCAGGCATACATCTATATTAGGGATACAATGCTTTTGAGTTGTGTCCTGTGCCAAATTTGCATGTGCAGTATGAAGAAAGCATGGTCATGTGTAAATTGTACCTTTATTTGTTGATTGTAAGCATTTGGCACTGTGTTATATCATATTTGTTTAGTGAGGTATCAGCTGATTTAGCCAACTAGTAAATGTTAGGCTTAAAACTAAAGCTCAATCCCAAAGCTTTTTGCTTGAATTGAATACAAGGGCTTGTTGTCATGTTAATATGATTGTGTTCTGTCATCTATAGAGCTCGTAATTCCATTTTCATACGGGCATACAGATATAGGTACAGGATACTGAAAAATGATAGTGTCTGATGTGCTGTATAGCTAACAATTCTATTGTTTTCAGATAGGCTGTACTTTGTCACTCTTCGGTCATACTTGAGACCTAAGTCAACAGCAAACACTCATTACTTCTCTGTGGATGATGAACTTGTTTATGAAAACTTCTATTGTGACTTTGGCCCACTCAACCTGGGAATGCTCTACAGATACTGCTTCAAACTTGGCAGAAAACTTAAGGTAAGAAGCATTATACATAAGGTACTAGTAAATATATAGATAGCTATTCAAAAGCAAATTCTACAGGTGCCATGTGCAGATGGGGGCTACACAAAGTGGATCATTTATAAAGCTAGTTTAGATGAGGTGAACAATTTACCTAGGGATGTGCAATGTGTAGATCATGGTTACATAGCAAATAAATCCATATTTTGCTTAATTTTATTAGCCAGACCATCCATGACATGAATGTTTATATTTTCCAGATGTCTGCTTATTAGAGATTCCACTAGAGATCAAGTAGCATGTGGTAATGTCTGATAATCTAGAATGCATTGGAGTGAGGACTGGTTGCCTTCCCTGACCGCTCTGTGTCAATAAAAGTTGTAAGCCAACACCAGTCTCTTTTTGTGACCTTTTCCATCATAACACAGGATGTAGGGATTGTTACCTAAACTTGAATTTCTTGTTGCATTGGAGGAGGACTGGAAGCTTAATAGAAAACTTCAGACATCAGCTAATTTGCTTGGAGGCAGATACTGACCTTTTCACTAAGGCTGAGATCTGCCATTACAACAACAATGCAGTGTGTGCCTACACCAGTGGGCTGTATGTACTGCTTCCGACATCCATGCATCCTGCCTGCTGGTCTTGAAAGGCTATTAAAAACTTCTGATTGGGTGCTATGTTGGGAGTGGAATGACAAAGTTAGTCATATGATGACCAGTGGGAGGAATGACATTTCCCACAAACCATGGTGGTTTTCACTTGTTCTAGTGTGGCTTCTCTCTCTCCATCTGATCCATCTCAGGGGGTTGACTATTTCTGTGGGGTGTGTTTGTGCAGCTGCTCACCACTGTTCCTTTGCCCTGTTTTTGGCCATGCTTCCACCACTTCTGATCATTAGCATCTGGTTTATGCCCATGTGTAAACATATAATACCATGCAATGTATGCCAGGAGGCTCACGCAACATCCGGAGTGAAACACTGAGTAAGAGCCTGTTCAGCTCAGATAGGGTCAGTGAACGTGTTCGGACATCACGCTCACCTGGAGCGCGCGAGGAAGCGCGGCCAGTGGCAGCGACTTCATTTTGAAAAGTTCGGTTGCTGGCGCCGAACACGGTTAGCGCCGTCACCGGATCATGGGAGTGACTTCATTCGTGTCAGGGCCCCGCCAGCCTCGTCTTCCACTCTCCAGGCCAGAAGCTGGTGTCCGGCCCTACCCGCGGGCGGTGTCCGGCCTTACCCGCAGACAGTGTCGTGCCCTACCCACAGAAGGTTGCTGCCCTACCTGCAGGCGGTTTCCTACCCTACCCGCAGGCGGTGCCGGTCCCACCCGGAGGCGTTGTACTGCCCTACCCGCAGGTGGTGTCCTGCCCTACCCGTAGTCGGTGTCCTGCCCTACCCGCAGGTGGTGTCCTGCCCTACCCGCAAGTGGTGTCCTGGCCCTACCCGTAGGTCGGTGTCCTGCCCTACCCGCAGGCGGTGCCGGCCCTACCCGTAGTCGGTGTCCTGCCCTACCTGCAGGTGGTGTCCCTGCCCTACCCGTAGTCGGTGTCCTGCCCTACCCGCAGGTGGTGTCCTGCCCTACCCGTAGTCGGTGTCCTGCCCTACCCGCAGGCGGTGCCGGCCCTACCCGTAGTCGGTGTCCTGCCCTACCTGCAGGTGGTGTCCTGCCCTACCCGCAAGTGGTGTCCTGCCCTACCCGCAAGTGGTGCCGTGCCCTACCCGTAGGCGGTGTCCTGCCCTACCCGCAGGTGGTGCCGTGCCCTACCCGTGGGCGGTGTCCTGCCCTACCCGTAGTCGGTGTCCTGCCCTACCCGCAGGTGGTGGCCGGCCGCGGTCGCTGCAGCGAGGGGAGCCTGTGGGGACACGCCACGGTCGCTGCGTCCTTCTCGCGTGATCGCGTCGGACTATCCCGACGAAGTTTGCTCGACGTTTTCGTAGGCACACATCCTGGGGTTTGTCGGAATTACGCGCACTGGCAGGAGTGGGTGTGTAAAATGTGCACCTTAGCTGTCTGCTCTCAGCAAGGCCAAGGGCACGAAATTTGGAGAGAATAACACTGGGTGATCATTGGTTGAGTGCCATCAGTTAGGTAGATTGGGGTCAATGAAGGTTGACAACAGAAAATGAATGCTGATTGGTTGCTCAAACGAAAATGTTCAATACAGAACGCATCAACACTCTGACGCGGGATCAGTAGCTCTCGAAGCAATGTATGAGGTACGCGCAATGCTGCACGATTATGAAGTAATTCGCGAGATTTGAGGTGAGACAAAGTCTGGTTGAACCCCAGTCATTGGCAGCTTAAGTGTAACCTGAATGAGCCAATAGATGACGCTCATTTCCTGAGCTGTCTCATTCTGGTGAAGAGTGAAGCTTGGTAGATGCCCATGCGCACGTCTGAGGTCACAGCCAAGGCCATAGAACAGGCCACAGGTCACAGCCGTGCTGAGTGTTCGCGGTCGCGGCCCCATTTCTGTCGTCTCGTGTCTTTCCACGACCGGCGGCGCCAGCGTCCGGCAGATGAGTAATTACGTAGCTACGTGGCGCGGTGAGACCAAACGTCTAACTGAGTTAGGGATCCGTTTAACGACAAACTGGTCTCCGGAAATAGGGTCACAAATAGGTAGCGCTCCGGGAGCGCGTGCCTCCACGCGCCGGCAGCTCTGCGGCGCCGCAGAGTTTGTCTGCCGATGCTGCCGGCCGCCAATCGCGCTAAACGGCCGTTTAGACTGCGCCGGATTGCGGCGAAAAAGTTGGTGACCGATTTTTTTACTCCACTCCCCGTCCTCTTGTTGGCAGCTACGTCCAAAACCGTTTGCCGGTAACGTTCAGCTTTTATACTGTCGAGGAAAACACGAGCGTTGTGCGGATTTTGCCCCCCTCCCCCTCCCCCCTCCCCCTCTATGGTCATATTAACACGAGACAGTTCAGAGGAACTTAAAATATGATCAAAATTGTTTCCGAGACTGTTCGAACGGCAGGAATGCCGATCATGGTGGCCGAGTGTTCCTCACTTTACTGTAATAATCCTGCGAAGCTTTGGTCTCAGTGTCGGTCCTCTGGGAGGTGTGTACGCGGTAACGGCAATTCCTCTACGGCAGCGTTCTAGTCTGGAAGCGTTGCGGCCGAGCGCAATTGGTAGAAGCGGCTATATTGCAGCGGCTTGGTATTGTGTGTGGTGGGAAGTGTGCATTTTCTGCTCGTTCTGCTCGTTTTAGGAGAAGTTGAATTATAATCCTACTGGGCGGGCCCAGTTTGTTAATTGGGTACGGCATTGATAGTAGATAAAACTGAGCGTTTCTCCTATTGTTTTTTCTTATCTCGTTTCATCTATTCTTGTCCATTTCCAGTCTGTTGTAAAATCGTAGTGCGCTCTGCTGGTGAGAACCTGAATTCCTGAAAACTG